TCTAGCCGTCCTGGTCCCAGCTAAGGGGAGAGAAGAAACCAGAGAAACACCTGCATACTCCACAGTCCTGAGGCACAGGCTCAGGAAAAGACTGAGACCTAATCGTAGGACTATAGAACGCTCCCCCTCAAACCTTACCACATTACCAAAGGCCTGTTTACAGCAGTTCCTTTTACCCGGTACATCAAATCCGACTATGAAGAAAAATTACAATGGACACCAAAAGGCAAAAAACGCAATTTGAAGAGACCGAGTAAGCATCAGAAGCAGACATGGCAGGGATGTTGGAATTATCAGACTGGGAATTTAAAACAACTGTGATTAATATGCTAAGGGCTCTAAGGGATAAAGTAGACAGCGCACAAGAACAGACAGGCAATGTAAGCAAAGAGATGGAAATCCTAAGAACAAAGAAGAAATGCTAGAGATAAAACACCGTAACAGAAGTGAAGAAAGCCTCTGATGGGCTTATTAGTACACTGGACATGCTGAGGAAAGAACCTCTGCTCTAGAGGATATCTCCGTGGAAACCTCCCAAACTGAAAAGCAAAGAGATTAAAGACTGGGAAAAATCAGAACAGAATATCCAAGGACTGTGGGACAACTACAAAAGGTGTGACATATGCGTAATGGGAATAAATACCAGAAGGAGCGAGAAAAGAACAGAAGAAATATTTATAACAATGACTGAGAATTTCCCCAAATTAATGCCAGACACCAAACCAGAGATAGAGGGAGCTCAGGGAACACCAACTAGGATAAAAGCCAAAAGACTTTGCCTAGGAGACCAGTTTCAAGCCACAGAAAATCAAAGATTAAAAACAAAATTCCTGAGAGAAGCCAGAGGGAAAAAACACTACGTATAGAACAAGATAAGAATTACACCTGACTTCTCAGAAACTATGCAAGCAAGAAGAGAGTAGAGTGAGATATTTAAGTGTTGACAGAAAAAACCCACCACCCTAGACTTCTACACACTGCAAAATTATCCTTCAAAGGTGAAGGAGAGCGATCTCCTCAGATGAACAAAAATGGAGAGAATTTTTTACCAATAGACCTGTCTACAAGAAAAGTTAAATGAAGTTCTTTAGAGAGATGGAAAATATCGGTCAGAAACCTGGATCTGAAAATATAAAGGAAGAGCATCCAAGAAGGAATAAGCAAAGGAAAAATAAATACTTTAACTTCTCTTTTTTTTTAAGATTGGCACTTGCATTAACATCTGTTGCCAATCTTTTTTTTCTTTCTTCTTCTTCTTCTCCCCCACAAAGCCCCCCAGTACATAGCTGTATATTCTAGTTGTAGGTCCCTCTGGTTGTGCTGTGTGGGACACCACCTCAGCGTGACTTGATGAGCGGTGCCATGTCCACACCCAGGATCCAAACCAGTGAAACCCTGGGCTGCCAAAGCGGAGCACACAAATTTAACCATTCGGCCACGGGGCCAGCCCCTAACTTCTTATTCTTAAATGATCTAATAGATTAGTTTGTTTAAAATAATAGCAACAATGTATTTAATTATGTAGGCTTATGTATATATCTTCTGTATATACATATGCTTGTGTATGGTTATATACAAGTCAATGAATGACAGCAATGATACAAGGGATCGGAGGGAGAAATTCAGATTATTTTGTTATTATAAGGTACTCACACTACTTGTGAAGTTATTTGAAGGTGGACTTGGATTAGTTGTAACTGTGTATTGCAAATTCTAGGGCAACCACCACAAAAGTAAAAAAGAAGCATAACTGTTATGTTAAGAAAGCAGAGCAAATGGAATCCTATAAAATGCTTGATTAAAACCAAAAATGGCAGAAAAAGAAAAGAAACTCTCTGCTCACAAATTTGATAACCTAGATGAAATGGATCAATTTCTTGAAAGACACAATCTGCCAAAACTCACATGAGAATAAACAGTGTGAACAGGTCTACATGCACTAAATAAATTTTTATTCAATAATTAATAACCTTCCAAAAGAGAAAGCACCAGGCCCAGATGCGTTCTGGTGAATTCTACCAAATGTTTAAGGAAGAAATTATACCAATTCTCTACAATCTCTTTCAGGAGACAGAAGCAGAGGAAATACTTCTTAGCACAGTCTATGAGGCCAGCATTACCCTAACACCAAAACTAGACCAAGACATGATGAGAAAACTACAGATCAATGTCCCTCATGAATGTAGATACAAAAATCCACAACGAAACATCAGCAAATCAAGTCCAACAATGTATGAAAAGAATTATACACCACAACCAAGTGAGATTTCTCTCAGGTATCAAGGCTAGTTCAACATTCAAAAACCAATCAATGTAATCCACTACATCAACAGGCTAAAAAAGAAAATCATGATCATACTAATAGATGCCAAAAAAGCATGAGAAAATCTAACACTCATTCATGATAAAATAAATAAATAAATAAATAAAAGGTATACAGATTTGGAAGGAATAAAACTGTCTTTGCAGATGACACAATTGTTAATGTAGAAAATCCAAAAGAATTAACTAAAAAACCTCCGAGAACTAATAAGTAATTATAGCAAGGTTGCAAGATATAAGGTTAATATACAAAAGTCAACTATTTTCCTATGCACCAGCAATGAGCAAGTGAAACTTGAAATTAAAAAACATTACTTATGTTAGTATCCCAAAAATGAAATACTTAGGTATAAATCTAACAATATAGGTACAAGGTGTACCTCAGGAAAACTATAAAACTGATGAGCAAAATCAAAGAGCTAAATAAATGGAGGAACATTCCATGTTCACAGATAGAAGACTCAGTATTGTCAAGATGTCAGTTCTTCTCGACTTGATCTACAGATTCAATACAATCTCAATTAAAATCCCAAGTGTTCTTATGGATATTGACAAATGGATTAAAGTTTATATGGAAAGGCAAAAAGCTCAGAATAGCCAACAAAGCACTGACGTAGAAGAATAACGTCGGAGGACTGACCACTACCCAACTTCAAGACCTACTTTAAAGCTACAGCAATAAAGACAGTGTGGTTGGTGAAAGAATACACAAATAGATCAATGGAACAGAACAGAACAGAGAGTCCAGAAAGAAATCCCCATAAATACAGGTAACTGATCTCTGACAAAAGAGCAAAGGCAATACAATGGAGAAAAGATCATCTTTTCAACAAATGGTGCTGGAGCAACTGGACATCCACATGCAAAACAGCGAATCCAGACACGGAATTTACATGCTTCACAAAAATTATCTCAAAGTGGATCACACACCTAAAGGTAAAAGGCAAAACTAGACGACTCCTAGAAGATATCGTAGGAGGAAACCTAGATGACCTTGAGTATCGTGATGACTTCGCAGGTATGACATCAAAGGCACAGTCTGTGACAGAAATAATTGATAAACTAGAGCAGATTAAGATTAAAAACTTCTGTTCTGTGAAAGACAATGTCAAGAAAATGAGAAGATAATCCACAGATTGGGAGAAAATATTTGCAAAAGATACATCTGATAAAGGACTGTTATCCAAAACATGTAAATGCTTAAAATTCAACAGTAAGAAAACAAATAATGCAATTTAAAAAATGAGTCAAAGACCCTGACACCTCAGCAAAGAAGCTATCAGCTAGCAGGTAAGCATATGAAAAGACACTGCACATCACATATCATTAGGGAATTGCAAACTAAAATGAGGTAGCACTACACACCTATTAGAATGGCCAAAGTCCAAAACACTGACAACACCAAATCTTGGCAACAATACGGACCAACAGGAACTCTCGTTCATTGCTGGTGGAAATGCAAAATGGTACAACCACTTTGGAGGAGAGTTTGGCAGTTTCTTACAAAACTAAACATACTCTTACCATACGATCCAGCAGTCATGTTCCTTGGTTTCAACCCAAAGGAGTTGAAAACATGTCCACACAAAAACCTGCACACAGATGTTTATAGCAGTTTTATTCAACTGCCAAAACTTGGAAGCTACCAAGATGTCTTTCAGTAGGTGAATGGATAAACAAACTGTGGTTCATCCAGACAATGGAGTATTATTTGGCACTAAAAGGAAATGAGCTCTCAAGCCATGAAAAAATATGGAGGAACTTAAACGCCTATTACTAAGCGAAAGAAGCCAATCTGAAAGGCTATGTACTGTAGGATTCCAACTTACGACATTCTGGAAAAAGCAAAACTATGGAGACAGTAAAAAGATCAGTGGTTGCAGTGGTTGGGGGGTAGGGAGGGATGAATAGGTGGAACACAGGATTTTTGGGCAGTGAAAATACTCTGTATGATACTATAATGATGGATACATGTCACTATACATTTATCCAACCCATAGGATGTACAACACCAAGAGTGAACTGTAATGTATACTACGGACTTTGGGCGATTGTTATGTGTCAGTATAGGTTCATTAATTGTAACAAATGTACCACTGTATGGGTATATTGTTAGTGGGGCAGGCTATGCATGTGTGGAGGCAGGGGGTATATGGGAAATCTGTACCTTCCTCTCAATCTTGCTGTGAACCCAAAGTTGCTCTAAAAAAGATTCTTAATAAAAGAAAAAAGGCTACTAAAATCTAAAAAAGAAAAAATATTGGGGAAGAGAATACTATATGATAATACCTTTAATTAACCTATTAGATTCAGTCCCAGAGACTCTGGGACCGCATTTGTAATTACTCATTACCAGCAAGTCATGCAACGAGGACATGTCCTGACAACTTACACCACGGAATCCTGCGTGCTACTTTAAACACCAGAAACAGTGGATGATAGGAAGAATCAAAGGCAGGATTCAAAGAGCCAAGTGCAGTCCTGAAACTCTGGACCACATTAGTGCCATAAAGCAATCAGAAAATCTATTTGAGAACTCAAACCCTTCGGAATTTTTTTTCCAAAAGTTCATTTACTAAGGTTTACTCTCATATCTTCCCTTAACCCAATTTTTATTAAGAATTTTGCTGCCACACCAACAATACATTTGCTCGAAGAAAATAATTTTACAACTTTGATATTTTAGTGTCATTTTATGCTCCAAAGCTTTATTTACATAGTTCTTCAAAATATATTTCAATGTCCACCCACTATTCCAACTGTGAAATACCAAATAGATTAGATTTACAGGGAAGCATAAAAGAGAGAAAACAATCCTATAACTTAATATATACAGTGCTAGTAGTGGTTATTATTTTTACAGTTTTATTTTGAGGATAATCCACTGAATTTTCCCGTCAATGACATTTTAGAGTGAAGCTGTCTTCAAGAGCAGATTTCCACAGAGAATTAGGAGTATAACAGTCCAATATATTTGCTGGGCGATTTGTGACATTTTATAAGTAGCTTGCAAATCATTTTTTTTCCCATTTTTTTTCAAAAGTCTTGGATGACGAAGAGGAATCATGCCTGTCACCACTACTATAGTGCTCATATAATGTCTGAAATTAAAAACACACACCTGTTTTGTAACTTTTAAAATTAAATGTATTACCTGATTAATAAAGATAACTCTACATATTCTAATATGTAGTCAATTTCTCTCTTGTTCTTATAATTAGGAACTTATGCTATAAACTATTGGAGATAATTAAGAATTTTAAACACCTAGCTTGGCCTAAGAATCAGCTATCACGTTGCAGCTCAGTCTTCCCGTATGAGAAATGTAATACAACTACGAATAAGCATATGTGTGCCTTCAACGCCTTCTTGATCTCCTTCACTTTTTCTTAAATAAAGTCAGTTTGAGATAAATTCCTATACTGTAAAGTACACTCATCAGAAAACAATACATATTTTCAGATGATATTTAAACTAGTGAACAGAACACATTAAAAAAATCATACAAATTGTTACATCAATAAGTATTATTAGCTATATTAAAATCTATTATTTAAAAAAGGATTTAAGACTAAGCCAACATCTAACTTAGGAAGATGACAGACCTCTTTGTCATCAAGGAACATAGAACCTCAGTGATAAAGGTAACTAATCTGACTCAATTGTATTTACAAAGGGCTTTGAACAATACACTGGAACACATATGAAACAGAGAGCAAAATTACCAAACAAAGTTTGTCCACTTTTAATTCCTCAAGTCATTGATTTAGCCATCAGCACTTGAGAAAATTTAAGAAAGAAATTTAATTCATATCATATGAAAGCAAATACAATAGTGAATGTATAGTAAATTCCCTCAGATATGTGTCCAAATTCTTGACATCTGAGATTGTCTTTACCTCTACCCAGAGAGCTAAGAGTGTTTTAAGTTTGCATTATTTTATAATAACATTATAACTGAGATATATAATTAGTAACTGCTTGTTAACTAAACCAGTTGGTCAATAAGCATACACAGGGTTCTAGAAATGACTAGGTGTTTGATGACAGTGAGATCCAAAAATCATGGTATAGATCTAAACAGGCACTGGGAGGCTGAAAGCCCTGAGATGCCTCCTTTGAGAAACGTGTTGATTCTCATAGACAGTGCCACAGAAGTCATTACCTGTGACAAAGTCTATGATTTCTCTAAGATGGTTTAAGAAAAAAACTGGCCAGAAGAAATGAATTCAAAAGCTGTGTTGAGAATGGTGTTGACTTTAAAAGCCAGACACCTCATTAAATTTACTCCAGTTGAGACCCGATAGCAATCTTTTGAACGCACCCTATACGACAATCCACTTTCAACTGTGCTGCCTGCACAGTAAGAATGTAAGTCAAACAAATCTCTATTTGTCAAAAGGCACACGTCAAGTATCTAAATGTAGAAATATACTCCATAATTGATCTGATGACTGGACCAACTTTTCTTCGCATCATCTGTTTCTTGAAGTGTCTAACTAAACTCTGTCTGTTGATAGGGAATAGAAATACTCACTTTAGCAGCTTTCAAAATGGAGTTAGGAGAATTCAGACCAACAAGTTGGCCCAGAACATGTTTCATTTCTTCAGTGGTTCCCTTAGTCATCTGGTTACCTGTAAAATAAATATAATCACTGACACTTTGGTACCAATAAGACAAATATAAGTTCATCTATAAATACCCATTCTGTTGAATAGGACAATAACTGGCATTCTTATAATTTATCACTGACCATAGCCCCTTATCTAGGATAAGTAAAAACGAATGCCAGCAAGTAAAGAAAGGCAATTTCATTTATTTTAGTATTTAGCCTAAAAGGAAATTCCTCAAGGAAGGAGGCAGGCTGAACAAGAGTACCCAGTTCAGATTCTGTTTTGTTACAGTTAAAAGGCTGTTTATGTTAGTAATGTGGTAATGAACAGCTTTCTAAAGAAGTACCTGGATGAGTTTGAATCTGAACATATGGATGCGCCAGGAGCTCGGGAATGGATATCCTCTGCTTAGGGTCCCTTATTAAACAACACTATAAAAATAAGATTAATTTCTTAAAAACAAAGCAAGTTTTATTATGTAACATTGATAACGCATTTTTCCAAATTGCATATTACAGAAATTGCTTTCTAGAAGATTAATTTCCAAGTCATTTTTGCAAAATCCCCAAGTAGTCAAAGTATTCATAAGTTTTAAAACACCTTCAATGTTACATGTCAATTATATCTCAATAAGAAATTTAAAAACATCTTAAAAGGAAACTTAACATGTCTTAAAAAGCTAATTCAGTCAGCAGTTCCTTTCAATAGACCAGTTACATCTAAGCCCATCATTTCAGCTATTTTTTTTAAGCAAACAATTAAGTATATGAAACATTGATTTTCTATATCTTTATACTATTAATGTTACCTTTAACACATCTTGAAGATCTTTCTCTGGAATATCAGGAAATTCGATTTCATGATTAGGGTCAATTATGGCATGTAATTTAGAAATCTGATTAATTATATGCTGAAATGGTGTTTTCCCATAAGTCATATAGTACAAAATGCATCCTAAGGACCAAACATCACTTTTGGGGCTTATCTAAGTAAAAAAAGAAAATAATAAGTTGCCATTATTTTAATATAAAATTAAATGTAAGAATAGTATCTATCTATATATACCCTAATATTTAAAACCATAGCTAAACCTCAATGAATGTGCACATACTGGATTATGTTTACATGACAAAACATCTTTTTTCAGTTTTTATAATATTTGGTTATTTTATCAAAAGAGATGAGCTTCACTTTAAATCTTTCAACAAACTCATAATTAAAATATCAACTGAAACAAAATATCACATTCTTGTCAACTTGTAAAAACAGAAAAACCCTGCAAATTTTAAATTTACTTGTTTTCCCCAGAATTATTTGCTTATAATAAATGTTTATATAAATTCACAATAGATAAGTACGTGTAGGTTTGAAAGGGTTGTTTAAGCTGAGCTCCCTACATCCAAGCGTACACACCGCAGAGCCAGGCAGCGCTGGGCGTGAACCCCGGCCTCACCAGTAGCTGCTAATGCTGCGCAGCTGATTCCGCACCTCTAACATAGACATAATAAAAGTATGCTGTTGTGGGCATTAAATAGTATGAGACATGGTTAAGCAAAGAGGATAGAGTCTGGTTATAGTAAGTACTCAATAAATATTACTTATTATTAAATGTTCATTGTATTAAAATCTCATTAGAAATAATGCAATATTATAACATAATTACCTTTTTAACTCTAAAAAGAACATGAATAAGACCTAACATTGCAATAGGCATAATAAATGACAATGGGTAAATTCCTATTTTAAAAGATAGATAAATAAACATTAAAACAAAATATAACCATATGCTCTCCACAAAGGATAAATCTAAACCAAATGACACAGAAAGGTAGGGCGAAAAAAGAAAAGAAATGGACATATAAACATAAAATATAAAAAAAATATTAAGAAGGGGGAGGCAGAGACTGCAATGTTAATACTGGAAAAAGAGAATACGGCAAAATCCTTTTAACAGAAGAAAGTCATTTTATAGTGATAAAAGGAACAATCAACCAAGAAGAGACAATAATTACAATCTTCTATGCAGTGAAGCCATGTTGAATAGAACTATATTAAGCAAAAATTGTATTAAATTCTTTTTTGCAGGGCGAGATTTTAACATGCCTTTCAGAAGATGACAGATAAAATAGATCCCATTATACAAACACAAAGAAAATTGAAAATTAATAAAAAATAACCTCCTCTTCCTCCAACTGAACCACCTGGAAATTTAGCCCATTTCTGAATAAAAATCACACATTAAAAAGAAGTAGGGTTCTAGGAAAATAGCACTGGCTGTGGCAGTTTTTCCTCCTCTCCAAATCCCCAGATAAGACAGAGAAAGTAGCCTGATAGCAACACCATGAACACATGGGAAATATTTACAACAAAACCAGGTGAGAAAGTAACCCCGTGAACCGCAGAAGCGGGTATGTGAACGGATGGAGACAACCGCCAGGAGCCACAAGTCCTGCAAGGTAGAGGCATTTGAAGCAGAATGCAGAGGGAAGGAATGAATGTGCCCAACAGAAGCCGGAAGAGAAGCCCGGAAGATCTGGCAGGTGTTCGGTGGAAAGCAATTTGAGGACGCAGCTGCATTAGGAGGGGTTTTGAGGCACTGCCTCACAGGTTGGGGTAAAAATTTGTCTTCTATTCGGAATCACTAAGGCCGTTAGATGCAGGTGATTCAACTGAATTGAGAGTTACAAATACATATTAAATCACTGAATTGACCACTGAAAAGATCTGAGCTGCAGGTGAAACTCAAAATAAATGTTATCTTATAGAAAAAAACGATATTAAAACTGCAATCACAAGTTTTAGAAATTAATGAAAATAAGAAACATTACAGTAAAACCCGGAAGTAGCTGCTAGAGTAAAACTCCGTAAAATGCAGTTTTAAAATGTTTTTAATTATAAGCAAGAATACTAAAATTAAAGTAGCTATTACTTAAATCCAGAAGCTAGGAAAAAAATAAACCTAAAGGGAATATAAATAACAAAGAGAAAAGCAGAAATTAATTAGAAAGCACATGAAAACAGAATTGATAAATAAAATCAAGACCTGGTTCTTTAAAATCAACAAAACCATGGCAAGTCTAATCAAGATGAAGAAAAAAGAGAAAAAACAAATCTAAGTATTAGAAGAAAAGAAGAGGCTAAACAGAAATACAAACAATCTCACGAGAGAGACTCTGGCATAAATTTATGCCAGCTATTTGAAAAGATGTTTAAAAGCCATGATTTTCTAGGAATAAAAATATAATTTAGTAAACAAAAGCAATTTATGGAGAAATTATTTTGAGCTGGACAATGTACTAAGTGCTTTATACGTTTTTTCATTTAATCCTCAATTTCTTCTAAAATGGGTATTATTTGTAAGCCCAATTTACAGACGAAAAAACCAGGCCAGGTAAGTCACCTGCCCAAAGACAGTTGTTAAGGAAGATCTCCGAGTCCAGCACAGGTCCCTGGGACAGCAGTGTGTGCTTGCAGCCACTCGGCCACATCCCTCAGAGAGAGGATTAGCTGGGAGCTGGAGGTATCATGGAAGGCAAAAGGGGCCCAACCAGGGGCACCGAGGAGGCTAACACAAAGCTCACTGAGGGGGTGAAATAAGACAGGTGGGAAAGCAGCCAGTGGCAGGCCTGGAAAAGTTACACACTAGAGTTGCACTTGAAAATGCAGAGTTCACAAGTGAATAAATGCTAAGAAATAAAATGTAAGAATCAGAAAGGAAACAAAGAAGACTTCAAAGATTATCAATTCAATGTTATTTAAGGTGTCCAAATCAGAGCTAATTTAGTCTTAATTTTTTCTTTAATTTTAAAACTCCAAAAATATCCTAGGTGCATTTCTTGTAGCAGCATCCTGAGACATCGCTATATTAAAAGCATGGTCTCAAATCAATAAAGAAGAGTGAAGTTGAATTCCATGGTAATCTGCTTAAGAAGGCAAAGTCTGCAAAGGCCTGAAATGTTTTAGAAATTAAAGAAATAACTTCCACTTATGTCAGGTTCATTCCCTGCGGATGCCAGGTAACTAGGATGTAAACAACCTTCGTTTACCTTTGATTTGGATTTCCCATTCTCTCTTGAGGAAGACATATCTTTGATTGCTTCTGGTGGCATATAATTCACTGTACCAACCTATTTGCCAAATCACAGAAAATACAAATCAATGAAAATATTTCATCTGCTTTAGATTTTAAAAACACGAATGTCAGATTCTTGGAAACTTGAATAACTACAGATTTCAGTAATATATTTGAAAATTTCAAATAACTGACAACAATATTAAGACAAATTTTTTCACAACTCCAGTGAAATGAATTAGGCTCATATTCAGAAAATTGACTCCTTTCAGAATGCTGAGCTTTTTCTATGGTTATGGTGGGCAACAAGTAATGTCCATCTTAAAAACCACCCAGACTAAAATTATATTAATTACCATAAACGTTGAGGGAGTTGATCAGTCACTCATTTCTGTGCTGGAATAGACACAGAATGCTTTTTTTTGATACCAACCAACCAACCAACCAACCGATTAGAAAGAATCCAGCTTTGTCTCTCAGGACTCCCTGGGTGCGCGTGTAAACTGGGACCAGGTGGATATCTAAATCCTGTGAGAGTTCCTGCCATAGGATTATGCCAACTCCACAGTGCATTCATTGTATTCTAAAATCAACAGTTCTGCTTTCAAACACAGAATACCCGTACTATGTATTCTGGTACAGAATACCTGTACCTTCCATGTCTTTGCCATAGAAGATATCTTTAAGCTGATTCACAACCAAATGTTCAGTCATATTTTTGATATAAAGAGGAGCGATTGTCAAATAGAATTGTTTGAAGGGCATGCTGTTCATCTACTCCTCCTAAAAAAAGTCTAGTTTTACTCCTAGGGTTAAGGCAGATCCACATCACAAATACGTATGCATGGAACACATCATCTTGGCTCCAATCATGATTATTTTTGGTTATTCTTTGGTATCATCACTTTGATTTTTACGGGGACACTTTACTAAGTTTGCTATTGCATATCCTATTATGAAAATGCGGTTGAGTACAATATTTATTATGGTGTTTCCAAGATGAAGGCTCACTTAAGAATTTTTTTTCTAATTTAAATGATAGGAAAACCTTTGCATCTCTGGAAGAACGAAATAATCTGACCTCATGGACAATGAAAAACATGTGATGGCAATTCCCTCTTTGGTAGCTACAGGAAACCATGAGCCAAAGCATCAGGTCCACTCTAGCGTCTGACCAAGACGATTTCCAAGGCAGGCACTGCTGCTTCTCCACCTCAGCTTCAGGAAAATCACTCCAGATTGCTGGACATATTTCTACCTGATCTTGACCTTCTACACTAAATTGTATTTATCATGGTTTTGATTTGTTTTTATAGTTATACTATCTATTCTTATAAAAAGGCCTCAGATCCTTTGAAGAATAAGGTAGGTAAAAATCAAATCCCCACTAGCAAAATAATTCTTCACAGGCGAAAAGGAATTGAACTCTACTGTGTGGTAACCAACCACTGATTACATCTTACCTGAGAGTCTTTAACGATACTTGTTGTATCTGGCTGCATTTGGTTTGCAATTCCAAAATCAATTAGCTTTAGCATTCCATCAACTATCAGAAAGTTAGCAGGTTTCAGATCACTGTGAACAATGCCTTCAAAATAAAAGTCCACTATGAGACAGTTTAAAACACTCTAAAGACAAAAAATTTCACAACCTACAGGCCAAGTGGATTCCTTCCAAGAGTCAATCAAGTTAAATATCCCTTTTTAATATAATCTACAGACACAGAGCCCTGCTCTGTGCCCTGCACTATTCCAAGTTTGATGCCTGTATTCAATCATGGACTCTTCATACCAATGTTGAGGTAAGAACTATTATTATCCTCATTTTTAGGTGAGGAAACTAAGGCAAAGAGAATTTAAGTAATTTGTTCAAGGTGTCATGGCCTCAGTGAGCGTGCCATGAGTTGAACTCAGGCAGTTCAGTGTCAGAGTTCATGCTCTTGACCACTGTGATCCACTGTCCACTAGACAGCATCGCAAATTACACTGGCAGACGGTAAGACCCTAATGCTCCTGACACCTCCGTTCTCGATCGCTGTTGAATTATCTTTTAAAGTATAGGAAGGGAGACATCAGGAGAAGACAAATTACAATTGTCTAGGTTAACAGTTATTTAATAAATAAATAAATAAAGGTAAAGGCAGAGAAGCCCTAAAAGAACCATGCTCGAGTAAAAGACCAACCCAGAAGGCAAGGCTAACAGTTTAAAGAAACAAACTCCCACATAAGGCACACGATACAAAAAGACTAGGAAAATGAGTGAAGTAAACAGCTCAGATTATCGAGATGCCCGAACGCCTGCAAGCCTCAGATCTGCTATAATCCAAGCATTTGGAGACCCAGGATTCTGGACCATGCAAACACTGAGAAAGATGCATTTCGCATTCTGGACGCGTTCTGGATGCATTCTGGGTGTGGGGGCTTGAGTTCATGCCCTATATCCTTTGGTTAACAATGTTTCAAACAAATGTTTTGTCCCTTCAAATTTAAACAAACTTCCAAATATTTAGTTTATCTAGCCTAAAGGTGTCAATAGCCATACCTTAAAATTAGCTATATTTCTCGAAGGTGACACTATTAACAATATTTTAACTTTACAAATAAAACAATTTTAAAATACCATGTTGATGAATTGTGTAAACTGCCTCCAACATATTTTTCCAGTAACTCTTGCGTTCCCAGGGATTGATGGATTTTTTCTTTTTAAGCCAAGTATTAAGATCAATATTTCCACACTCCATTACCATGTAGATGTACTGGTCTGTGATTTCACTGCCATTAAAAACAAATAAAAGTGACAAAACAATGAATGGTTAGGTTATAATATTAAGATTGAATAAGTATTTATCTGAAGAATTATAGCAAAAAAAAGTTTTCTTTTCAAATTAAAAAAAGTTCTTACTAATCATAAAGTCGGATGATCTTATCACTGTGTTGTTGTAGTTTATTCAGATAAGCGATTTCATTCCGGTAACTCTCAATAGTTTGATTATCTGCTTCCTCCAGGTTCACATACTTTATAGCATGTATCTGTTTATTTTCAGTCAACACCTGAAATACCTGTAGAGCAGAACAAAGGAAAGAATTCAGAATGTACTATCTATACACTGTCATAACACTTCCAAATTTATTAGACAGAATTTTAGGTTAAGGGGATACTGACACGAATTATTAAGTGTCTCAGCTTATTTTGAGTATAGAAGGAAAATAACAGCTTAGGAGAGAAACAGTCCATTCTCAACTACCTATGACAATGGCATTCAATAATCAAAGGCATAAACCTAAAAAGTTTCCACATCGATATAGAAGAAAGGACATTTAAATTCATATACATTCATAATACTCTGCTGGATGCCTTTAACAGGGAAATAACCTAAAGAAAGACATTCAAGCATTTTAAGGAGAAGGCTGGAATAAAGAGTCAGTTATTTCACAGATGGCTTTTTTTCCCTTCTGCCAGAGTTAACAATGCATTCATTCATGTGGTAGAGAATATTTAAAAATATGAACTGTAAGCTATTAGTATATTCAGTTGTGAAAAGCAGATTTAGGTCCAATTTTCAAAGTCAAGTTGACAGGAACAAGATGTTCCTGTAAGCGAGTTGTCAGCATCTCTGAGGTCCCAGTCAAAGTGCTCTGGCCACAGCGACAGTCAACTTCTCAGGAATGTTGACAGGACAGATAGTACATTCTGAACAGCAGAAAACACTGCGAACGTGTCTAATGCTCAGCGAACATGCAACAGGGATGGCCCTTCTAAAACTCCAGACTTCAAATACAGAATGGCGGGGTAAGCCAGAAAACTGTAGTCATTTATCCCTTTGACACATGAAGTGAAACATCATTTATTTAAAAGCCATTTAACCTTGACTACCCAGAAGATACTGTCACAAATACGACAAGAGCCAAAGTGTATACGGGGTTCATGCATTGCAACTGCACTAACAAGGAGTTTATCAGGCCGTCAGGTGCAGCTTAATTACTTTTAAATTGTTAAATACAAAACTAACAAAGTATTACCAGTTTTATTTGCAAACATAGCAAATTAGAGGACCAGGGGCCTGTAACAGTAATAGGGCAAGAGGCAGCAGAAAATAGCAAAGGAAGAGCTAAAAGGAATTTTAAAATAGCATAAAGCCATTTTGTAAAGAGCCTTACAAATCTCAGGGAACTACGAGTATCTACTGTTCGTGCACCCCACTGACACCCCTGACCCCGACGGCTATCTTATGTTCCTATGCTGTTTAAGAAGGTAGAAGGTATGAGACGTCTTTGAGTCATAAAATAAAATTTCTAAAATTTAAAGATTACAGAACACACTGAAACAAAATATAGGATTAAAAATTCAAGAAAGATTAGAAGGAAATACCGGCATTTGAGTTCGAGCTCCCCCCTTAACAGCAACCTAACCTGGGCAAGCTACCAGCCTCTGAGAGAGCAAAGTATTAGCAGTACGTCGCACGTGGGTCGTAGGATGACTGCAAGCACAGTCTGGAGAGCAGCACATGAGAGCCGCCATCATTAGACACGGTCGGACAGAATACAGGGGACATTTTAAAATAGATTCCAGGGGCCCGCCTGGTGGCGCAGCGGCTAAGTGTGCACGTTCTGCTTTGGTAGCCCAGGGTTCAGCAGTTCAGGTCCCGGGTGCGGACATGGCACTGCTTGGCAAGCCATGCTGTGGGAGGTGTCCCACATATAAAGTAGAGGAAGATGGGCACGGATGTTAGCTCAGGGCCAGTCTTCTTCAGCAAAAAGAGGGGGATTGGCAGTGGATGTTAGCTCAGGGCTAATCTTCCTCAAATAAATAAATAATTTAAAAAAAACAGATTCAAGTTGTCATGTATATTAGAAAAAAAGATTTGCAGGATCTTAAAACTATTCATATAATAGGATCTCAACATTTTTGATAAAATGAAAACTTTTAATCAACTTTTTGCATGTATATGCTTTCACTCCCCCATCGTCCCTGCTCTGGCAAAACTCCAGCAATAACAGATGAGCTGGACTGGGTAGGCCTTCTTTCCATTTCAGAGACAGCGCCAGTCATCATTTGTCAGCCTCATGGGAAGTTACTGAAAGAACCAGAAAAGCCACTGTCTTCGACCATTTCTATTAGCCCTGTGACCTTTTGAAAAGCTCCGAAGAAAAAATGTTTAAAACATTCTTAAGATTAGTCTACATTCTCTGAAAACATTACATTAATAAATATTTCACCTTAACACTATTAAAATACAGCCAAATAACTAGTAAGCACTAAATATTAACCAAAGAATTTCTAGTAAAGCAACCAAATCAGGTGATTCAGATATATTGATAAAAATCAATTGGGGCCGGCCTGGTGGTGTAGTGGTTAAGTTCATGTGCTCCGCTTTGGTGTCCCAGGGTGCACGGGTTTGGATCCTGGGTGAGGACCTATGCACCACTCATCAAGCCATGCTGAGATGGTGTCCTACATACAAAATAGAGGAAGACTGGCATAGATGCTGCTGAACAACAATCTTCCTCAAGCAAAAAGAGGAAGATTGGCAACAGATGTTAGTTCAGAGCCAATCTTCCTCACCCCCCCCCCCAAAAAAAAATAGAGGCTGGCCCAGTGGCATAGCAGTCAAGTTCACGCACCCTGCTTTGGCGGCCCAGGGTTTGCCCATTCAGATCCCAGGCACGGACCTATGCACTGCTTATCAAACCACACTGTGGCAGGCACCCCACATATAAAGTAGAGGAAGATGGGCACGGATGTTAGCTCAGTGCCAGTCTTCCTCAGCAAAGAGAATTGGCAGTGAATGTTAGCTCAGGGCTAATCTTCCTCAAAAAAAAAAAAAAAAAAATCAACTGCATTGTCCCTTTATTCCCATGCCCGAAATGTGAGGCAAAAGAAAGAATAAGGGAGATGCATAAAGACAAGAAACTAATTATTGAACAATTGCTACACATGATTATGTACATACCTTATTTGTAATAAGTTAACAAGACAGTCTCAAGCAAGTCTAGTTATTGTGAACTGGCTTAGAAAATTAGAGTAAAACAAAATGAAGCCACAGGCTTTGTTTCATGTATCATCCTTACCAACTTATACCAAAACAGCTGAGGAGGGAGAGTTCGTTCACTCAGAAAACGCTTCAGTCTGTTAGGTTCTAGGCACTACCCCAGATGATGGAGCAAACATCATCGAGCACATCAGACATCCCTGTCCTGACAGAACCCACGTTCAAACGCATGGGCACACAAACAACAAACTAAGCCAATTACAGAGCGTGTTAGAAGGTAAGCCGCAGAGAGAAATAAAGCAGGAGAGGGGAATGGCGCTCACCTGCATCGGAAGATGGGAGTTGCAGTTTTAAAGAGCATGGTCAAGGAAGGACTGATTGAGAAGATACTTGAGCAAAGACGTGAGGATATCTGGAGGAAAGTCGACTCTTACATTAAAGTAGACCAGGAGAGCAAGGACAAGTCAATGAGACTAAGACTAGCAAGGAGGCTACTGTGACAATGTAGGTGAAAAAATGATCACTTTGGTTACTTCGACCAAAGTGATAATAGTGGAGGTGAAGAGAAACAGGCAGATTCTGGATATACTTTGAGGTAGAACCAACAAGACTTGCTGATTGGCTGGATGTGTGTGTGAGTAACACGAGTCAATGAGGACTCCAGGGTTTGTGGCCTGGCAAGTGGAAGAATGGGGTTGCCATTTACTGAAATCTAAAACACTATGGAGTAAGAATTATGTTTGGGACATAGTAAGTTTTAAATATCGAGTGGATACCCAAAAAGAGATGCTGAGCAGTCAATTTGGAAATACAAGTCAGGAATTCAAAGAAAGGTCTGAGCAGGGAATCTAAGCTTGGGAGTAGTCAGCATATATACGGTATTTAAAACCACGAGACTGGATGAGAACACCAAGGAGTGAGTGAGCTTGGAGAGAAGAAAAGGTCAGGGACCGAGCTCTGGGGCACTGCACCGCTGAGATCAGGGACTGAGGGAGACTGAAAGGAAAGGCCAGCTGGAGAGAGGAAAACAGAGAGCCCAAGTGGAAGAAAAAAGACTCAATGAGAGAAGAAGAATCAACTGTCTCAAACGCTGCTAAGTTAAATAATCCCAAACAGAAGCCAAGAGATGGATTTGGCAAAACTATGGAGGTCACTGGTGATCCTGATAACACCTGTTTTGGTGAGTGATGAGGGTAAACACCTGACCTAAGTAGATTTAAGAGAATATAATGAGAAGAACTGAAGAAGGTAAGTTTAGACAACTCTGTTGAGACGCCTTCCATCAAGAGAATTAGAACCACATAAAGCTGGAACTCAGACACATTTAGGAAATGATCTATTCCAATTCCAGACTAAACTCGGTTTTTGAAATGAAAAACTCTAAACAAAACAAATTCCGCTAGTCAAAAACTTTGCTAAATTGTTCTAAGCACATTAGTTAGTATTTACATCACGGTCTGACTTAGAAAGATTCTTCTGTGATAATACATAGCTGTCATTTGTCACCCCAAGTCAATGTTAATGTTACTAAAGAAGAAACCTGGAAGCACGGGACAATGGAGGAAGAGCAGAGAACCACATCTAAGAGGTAGGTCCACAGAGAGACATCATTTGTAGAGGGGAAGGGGATGGGAGCAGGGGATGGGAAGAATCTTTGACTCAAGGGCAATATGGGCTCCTAGAAGTTAAGAAAAAAGAGAACAAAAGGGTAAAAAGGACAAAAAAGGGATAGTTCAAAATATTTTTATTCATTTCTTAAATATTTAGGATACATACCTTACTTGAACCTCCACTTCCTATCTGCTTCAATATGGAATAAATTCTTCCTTTAACTGAAATGCACTCATTTGTTGAAGAGGATGCTGAAATCTAAATAATTAAAATATATAAGGGTTCAAAGGTTCAAAAAATATTCCTCCAATTTTGCCACTGTGAAATGCTTCCAATTTTGAAATTATCTAAAATCTTAAGTAATTAGATATTTGTCACAATATTTTAAAGAGGGAATTTACATACTTTAGTCAAAGAAATAAACGTATGAAATTAATATATAGACAAACTTCCAAGGTTTCCTTCTAACTCAGCTTTACTTCTCAACATCAATACATAAATGGAAGATTTAAGGGGAAAGGAAACATTCAATGTCCAACATACAAACTCATAAGCTATCATTTTTCTGTTCTTATCTATTCTTTTTTCTTCCATATACCGCTTTACTTACATACATACAAATGTAAACACACAATTATATCTGGGTTCTTTTTCCCCACTTAGCATTATATTATAAGGGAAGCAGTGTTCTAAGGTGCTAAGAGCTCCAGAGTCAGTCAGACAAACACAAATTTTAGCATGCCCCCTTTCTGCTGGGTGACGTTCAACATCCTCCTCAGCAAACTTTAACGGCTGCACTGTACGACTTGCCCCTTCTTCCCTTCCCTTACGCTGGGGCCTCTGTGGACCTGCAAATGCTTTGAACAGATGGAGCGTTATGAGAGGACTGACTCTGAGCTGACAAGGAAGCTGGAACACACAGAGTGTCTGATGAGCTGATTACCAAGTTGAAACAAGTCTGAATAAACCTCAATGTAACTAAGTCTTGCTTTAGATCCCAAATAGTAGAATTTCTCTCAATCCCCTTCCATATAATACAAAAGACAAGGATTCTAATTTCTTCAACGTCTAAAGTTGAGAGACACTGTTGAGTCGTGAAATATGTTTTCTGTAAGAAAATATCAGGCTTTGAACGATGCACCTGCTATTTTTCATTAAGTTGTAATTTCACCAAGGTCCCCCACTCAACTTCCTTTCGGTGCTTCCTCTCAGACTTAAAATAAAAACTTCTGAGAGAGAAGAAAGCAGTTCAACGTCTTTCTCGCCTGACTGCTTACAGTTTTTAGAGTACAGGAATCCTGACATTTCTGATTCAACAGCAACGTGAAGTTCGGTTTCCTACACAGCACATCCCACACCCCCTCAGTCCATCCATCCTCACTGTGGCCTGAGTCATGTTTTCAAAATGCAGATAAGAAAATTTCACTTCCCTGCTCCAATCTGCCCCACAGCTTACGATCATCCCTCTTGGGATAAAACTTAAAGGGCCCAGTGGAACCCTAAGGATCACCCGTCCTGCTTCCTGGGCTCCACCCACACTCGGGCCTCTTTTTAAGTTCCCTCCTGACACTGGCCTCTTCTAGAAGGCTCCCTCTGGCCCCTTCACTTGGTCTTCTCCAACCTGACGTCTAGATTTCAACTCAAATAGGGCCTGACATGAGTAATAGCTCAATAAATGTGTTTTGAATGAATGTGTGGGCAAACCTGATCATCTTTCTTTTTCTCCTTTGTAATTTATTATACTGCATCAATCCTTAAAACACCATTACCTCTTTCCATATTTAGTATAATCTATCGTCAGCTAATTTTTTTTGTTCCGTTATTTTTTTAATTGTGGCAAAATACACATAAAATTTCCCATTTTAACCATTTTTAAGTGTATAATTCAATGCCATTAAATACATTCACATTCTTGTGCAACCATCACCACCATCCATCTCCAGAACCTGTCATCATCTCCTATTGAAACTCTGTGTCCATTAAACACCTCCCCATTCCTCCTGCCCCTCCAGCCCGATAACCATTGTTCTATCTTCTTTCAGCTAATTTTCTAATGTCTTGATTTGTACAGTTAACTATTTGTGCTGTCTTTTTGCTGTTTTATTTAAATAACAATTGCTGCTAACTTGTACTATTTACTAAGCACCAGGCTCTGTCGTAAGAGTTACATATATCTATATTAACTAATTTAATCTTCACAGTCATCCTATGGGGTAGGTAGCTTTATTATCCCCATTTCAGATGTTGAAATGGGCGCAGAGAGTTTCAGTTAATTTGACGAGGTCACACAGCTGGTGAGCAGTGAGGCCGAGATTCAGGGCTAGCCCGTCTCCCCTCGAGGCCCCTGCTTCTTGCCTGATTAAGCTGCTTCTCAGAGAGCAGATTTCAGTTATGGACATCAGGAGAGGGCTTAAATTAACTCTCCAGATGGCAAGCAGTTGCCTCACCAGCAAAAGATTTTTTCTCTTATTTTAGAACAATTACTTTATAATATATTCTAGTAGCATCTCATATTGTATCCTGATATTCTTCAAAATTTACTTGTATGTTAATCAGCCAATGAAACGAGGCTGCTTACTAACAGCTGGCTTAAATAGTTAAGTGGATTAAAAAGTAACGTAGATTAGGAGAAATTTTATTCAGCTCCTCAAACTGGACCCTCCAGCCTAGTTAATGAAAAACCTTCATTAGCTTCCTCAATAACTAACCTCTCAAAGCCACGAGGCGCCCGTACCAAGATATAAGAAAAGTGTTACCTAATGGGACTAAGAATGGGTAAGTCCTAACAACTTTCAACAACAAGTCCTTTCCTAACAACTAGATGCTGTAGGAATAAAATCTACGAAATAGACCATACCTGACATACACCATCATAAATAAAGCTTATCGAACCTGTAAATGCTGAAGTGGCGTAATGGGGATCTGCCCCGGTGGCTGCTGGAAACAGGCGAGTTGGCTGTAAGGTGTTGACAACTGACAAGCAGATGGAAAGTCATTCTTTACAACTGGAGTTCTAAAACTAGGAGAGATTTTTAAATTTAAAACATTAAAATTTTAAAAGCAAGATACTGATTTAGTTTTTGTGTGATTTTAAGGTGTCAATATAAATTTAAACGTGTTCCATCAAACAGAATCCAAGTCAGTCTTCACAGTATAACTGAATCATGTATTCTAGATATACCATAACCAGAAATTTTATTTTGGGGAAATTCCTTCGGAAAGTAACTTTTGTCCCTCAGACAAGAAATTCCTGTTAGTAAAATAAGTAAGATGGCATTTAAAATACGGAGTTGGGGTTATTTTATAAGAACTTAGCCAAGGCAAAGGTGAGTCCCTTGCTGATCACAGATTGTCTGAGTGCTTTTTAACAATAAGGTTCTACAACAGCCTACTAGAGAGATCTGAAAGCCAATTACATCAGAGGAATTTGGCCCCTGAGCTTGCAAGTGTGCAGCTCACCTTCGTGCTCTGCTTGTCTTAGACACTGCTGTAGCCTCAACACCCAGCACAGTGCTTGGCACAAAGGAGTTCCCAAATATTTGTGGACAATAAATAATCTAATTTCACAAGAAATAACTATATCACTATTTTAGTTAGCAATCATGCTGTAAACTATTCTAAGTATAATAAAATGAGGTAATATATAGCAAAATTGTATTAAATAGGTAAGAGATTAGGTTATAAAACTTCTAAGGCCAGTTGTAAGTGAGATCAAGATTACATTGTGAAAATAAACAGCAAAAGTCATCATGGACTTGAGTCATCCTCTAAGACATTAAAAATATAATCACTTGTTCAAGGATATCATGTGCCACCTCTCTTTATTTCCTCTCTTTGAAATATCACTAATTTGCTCTTGCAATATCGCTGTTTCCCGTCAGTCAGCACTGACCATCCCATCTCTTCACTCACCCCTCATTCCCCTCCACTCAAATCCTATACCCTTGAACACCCTCAGAACTATGTGACCTGTACAACCAAGCTTTTTCAGAAACTATCACACTCTGATTAACACCTCCTTTGCTATAAAATGTACCCACCCTTTATCTGCTCTAGGAATGCTCACCTCTAAACATCTCTCTCCATGACAGAGAGGTATCCAGGTGGCAACGGATGATAATCAGGAAGTTTTACACGCTTATTTATAGGTTGTAGGTACACATTACAATATGACAGAGACTTTCACAAAAATCCTTAAAAATATATTACAGCCACCTTCCTCTCCCTATTTTACAGATGAAAAAACTGATGCTGAGAAAAGTAAAAAGTAATATGAATTTGGAAAGTCTTTAAAGTAACAGAGCAGGATTCAGATCTATTTGGCCCCAAAGCCCATGTTATTTCTATCATACCAAGCTACGAGCCAAAGCAATTACCAGCTCATGTAATCATCCAAGCTGCTGCTGCTGGGCGTCTTACAAACAGATTTTGGATCAATCCATTTAGGTGCTGATATTGGGGGTGACTGCTTTGAAATGGAAAAGCCAGGTTGCTCAAAAGTGGTTTGTTTCTGCTAAATCAAAATAAAAAACATTACGATTTAGAGATTTTAAGTTAGTCACCTGTTGAATAGTCTTATAAACACTGTAACTTATAAAAGTAAGTAACAAAATTATGAAATACAAAAGCATGCTAAAATAGGTAGACGTGTAGTCAGACTTTCAATAACTTTTTAGTATAGCTCTTTTACTCTAAATTCTTAAGCCTGTTATATTCTGCTCAAAGGGATTACAACCAGAGGGAAGGCACAAATATTGTTTAACAAAACAGGGTCTGATGTCCTCCCCCTTCAGGGCTAATGTAACCAGTACCGAACTTTCATAATCTAAATAAGTACTCTGTGCTTCTGAAAACTAAGCTTTCTTTAATCAATAAAACCACATTGTCCACCTTATGTTAAAATGACCAAATAGTAATTATTTAGCAAAATTTGAAATGGCAAATACCTATCTAGTGCTCTTCTCCCTCATAAGAGACAGAGCCTGTAAAATTTATCTCATACAAATCTCAAAGCAATGACGAATGAACATCCTCTACAACAGAGACTGGCAGTTGGCAGCCCACTGCCTATTTTTGCAAATAAAGTTTCACTGGAATGCAGCGATGCCCATTTGGTTACATATCGTTGATGGCTGCAAAGCCTACTAATCTTTTACAGAAAAAGTGTGCCAACCCTTGCTCTGCGGCATCTCCACCAGATAGAGAACCACATTTTGCTTGAACACTTAGTAACTGAGGATTCTACTGTCCAAGGAGTTTCACTCAAATTTAGAGACAACCTTTAGTCATTAGAAAGTATTGCAGATATTTAGATTAAATCAGTTTCTCTATTATAATTTCAACCCACTGGTCCATATTATGCTCTCAAGAACCACAATGTCTAAATCTATTACACTTTCTACATTTCAGTCCTTTAAGTTTTTGAAAATAGCTGGCATGGACACTATATCTCTTTTCCTGGATAAATTTTCCATTTCATGTAAGATTTCCTTATATATATATGTATTTGGATCAGTGGTCAGGATGGTTGTGAGAAACTGTCGTACTAAGATCATTAACCAAGGAAAGCAAAAAAAAAATGGTGGTCACAGAGTAGAACATTTGCATTTGAGATTTTGGAGATCAGAATTGAAGACATAGTAATGAGAAGCTAAAGTGAAATTAAGGAAATAGTTGTGATAGAGGAAAAAGTTATGAATTTGGAGGTCAGGTATAGGACTAAGGATACACAGGGAACAGAAGCCAACAAAAATGATGACAGTTGTTGAAGCAGACAGAAGTGATCCAGAGCCTAATGTCTTCAAGGCATGATGGGAGTCACTAGGATGTTCAGAGATGACAGCAACAAGGCAGGCAGGCAGACGCCTCAAAGGGCAGATCTTTTGCAAGAAAGAGAAGAAACGGTCTGGACATAGCAATGGGTAGTTTGTGGCTATAAGGTAAGAGACATGAGACAAAAAGACCCTCCACCTGAGAGGGCCACTGGAAAAGCAGTCACCTTGGGAAACTGCCCAGTTTCTTTCTTTTTTTTCCCCCTAAGTGTACTACTCAGTGGTTTTAATATATTCACAAGAGTTGTGCAATCATCACCACCATATAGTTACAGAACACTTTATTATCCTAGGAAGAAACTCTGTACCCATTAGCAGTCACTCCCCATTCCTCACTCCTTCCAGTCCCTGGAAACCACTAATCTACTTTCTGTCTCTATGGATTTGCCTGTTCTGGACACTTCGTATAAATGGGATCACGCTATAGGTGGCCCTTTGTGATGAGCTTCATTCACTCAGCATGTTTTCAAGATTCACTCATGTTACAGCATGCATCAGTACTTCATTACTTTTTATTATTGAATATTATTTCCTTTGTATGAATGTACATTTTGTTTATTCACTCATCAATCGATGGATATTTGGGTTTTTCCACCTTTTGGCAATTATGAATAACGCAGCTATGAACATCCATGTGCAAGTTTTGTGTAGATATATACATTATCAATTCTCTCAAGTATACACCTATGAGTAGAATTGCTGGATCATATGGTAACTGTCTTTTTAACTTTTATTGCCGTACCATTTTTCAAGTGACTGCACCGTTTTACATTCTCACTGGCAGTGTATGAGGGCTCCATTTATCCACATCCTCACCGACACTTGTTACTATCTCTTTTTAACTATAACCATCTTAGTGGATGTGAAGCAGTGTCTCACTGTGGTTTTGATTTGCACGTCTCTAGTGACAAATAAATGCTTTTGAGTCACCTTACCAGCCTATTGGCTCACAAGCTTTAAAAAGAAAAAGATGTTGGTTTATACGATCTATGATGCAACCTGTCAGGATTCTCATCATCTAACATTTGTTATCTATGTCATTGCTTAGATCAGTGGTTCTCAAAGAGTAATCCAGGAAAACCAGGGGTGGGGCGGGAGAGACACCTTTCAGTGTCTGAGAGGTTAAAACCATTTCATAGTAATACTAAGACATCATTTGCCTTTTTCCCTTTCATTCTTTCTTGAGTGTGTACTGGAGTTTTTCTGAGGCTATAAGACATGTGATAACGAAATAGACTGAAGCAAAAGCAGACACAAGAATCCAGCATCCTGTTAGGCCAACCAACAAGGAAACTGTAAAAATTGTAAAACAATGCTGCTCTTCTCACTATAATTATTTTGCTTTGAAAAATACTTTTCATAAAAGTGTATCTATATTCACATGTAATGCATTTATTATTGTTATTTTAATAAATTAATACTTTTACAATTTCTTGCTTTTACTTTTTAATACAGTAAATACAGATAAATATAAGCTACGTAAACACAAGTTCTCTATGGGTCTTGGTAATTGAGACTATAGGAGTCCCAAGTTCAAAATGTTTAAGAACCAGTGAGCTAGAACATAGCTGAAAAGAGGCGCCAGCCTGGTGGTGCAGCGGTTAAGTTCGCACGTTCTGCTTCTCGGTAGCCCAGGGTTCATCAGTTCGGATCCCGGGTGCGGACATGGCACCACTTGGCAAAAGCCATGCTGTGGTAGCTGTCCCATGTATAAAGTAGAGGAAGATGGGCACGGATGTTAGCTTAGAGCCAGTCTTCCTCAGAGAAAAGAGGAGGATTGGCAGTAGTTAGCTCAGGGCTAATCTTCCTCAAAAAAAATAAAAAAGAATATAGCTGAAAAGAAATAGTGAGGAAAGTATGGCGTGGACTATACGGATGGCTCTCCGGTACTCCACCAGATCATTCCTTCTGAAATAGCCCCCAGCCACTAGGCATAATCATTCAACCTGTTATAAATTCACATACATTTTACATTCTATATTTTTCTATGTCATCTATGAGAATGATGATAGGAAACAGTCAAATGCTTTGGTACAGCACTGCACAGTTCAGGGATTGGCATACTTCTCTGTAAATGGCAAAAGAGTAAACATTTTAGGCTTTATAGCCCAGGTGGTCTCTGTTACAAACTCAACTTGCAACCCTAGACAGTACATAAAGGAATGGGCATGGCTGTGTTCCAAGAAAATGTTATTTACACAGACTGGCTGGGAACTAGACTTGGTCCATAGCTGTAGTTGGCTGACCCCTGTACCAGTCCACGAGGAATCTAGAAACACTACCAAAAATAGAAAAGGATTCAGCTTGACATCTACTCTTACTGAATCTATGACTGTTACTGATCATTGTTTTGTGTATAACAAAAAACATCCCTTAAGTAAACTATTCCATAAAATATGATACATAAGCGCTCAATAAAAGAAGAAAATATTTGACGTGATCATCACATTATGAACAGTGGCAACGTTATCCTAGAGGGGAAAAGTTACCTCTGAATCAGCCTTTCGGGTTATCTCCGGAATCTGCCACTGATTTGAAGAGGCAGCAGGATTCTGCTTTACACATTCCAACTTTCTCTTAGATTGCCCTTGTTTCTGGTTACTTTCTGGAAACTTTGGTTCTTGATGCTCTTTAGTTTCTGAAATTTTACTTGTTGTTGCTGTCATTAAAAGGCAAGAATATTTGATAATAACAAAATTAAACCTAAACAATCGAACATGTTACAAACTATATTAGCATTTTGCTTTTAAAAACAGAGAGAAATTAACATCTTTAAGCCAGGTGCTAACAATTTGCTTTTAGCAAGTCAATTTTACAAAGCTGCAATACAGCTGTCTTCCTAAAGCATGACTTATAGCTTTGTCAGAGACCATTCTGGATTTAAATCCTTCTGGTCTTTACCAGTAAACAACTAAGTAAATAAATAAAATTTTAAAAAATACATGTAATAAAGTCTTACAAATAAAAAGAAGCTATTTCATCACTTTTCATAGACCTCTCACTTTTTAATAAAAAATTTACCTTATATTAGCCTGTAATTAACTTTCTTAAGAGTCTCTAAAAGAACTTCAACAATATATTTAATATTCTATGATTATCAAAATTCCATTACTCTCATGATAATAGATGCAAAACCCCTAAACAAAATATTAGCACTCAATATACAAAAGGGATAATAAATTACAACCAAGTTGGGTTTATTCCTAAATGCAAAATTTGCTTAACATGTGAAAATCAATGTAATTTGCCATAAGAGAATAGAGAAAAAAAATATGATCAATTCAATAAACACAGAAAAAGCATCTGAAAAAGTTCAACACCCAGTCACAAAAAAAACTAATGGTAAAATAGGTATAAAACAGAACTCATTTTGTTTTGATAGTTAATAAAAGAGTAGCTACAAAAAACTACAGCAATTACCACACTAAAAGTAAAATACTGAAAGCTTCCTTCTAAAATAAGGAAAGAGACAATGCCACCCATCATCCCTTCTATTCATCATTATACTGGAGGTCTTAAGTGCAATACAGCAAAGAAAAGAAATGAAAATGAAAAGAATTGGAAAGGAAAAAAATGTTCTATTATTCTCAAACAACATGAAAGAATCTATAGAAAAAGGAGAATTATTCAGTGAATTTAGCAATGTCACTGTGTCTAAGATCAGTAACCAAAAATCAGTGGCATTTTTTATATACCAGCAACAAAAAAGTAAAGGATAAATTTTTTTTAAAAAGATACTATTCATTACCATTGCATTAAAAAAAAATCAGATATCTAGGAATAACTCTAGCAAAAGATACGCAAAATCTCTACAAAGAAAACAATTCTCTCAGTAATATTTTAAATACTGCTTAAATGAAAGAAGGGATATGTCAGGTTAGTAGCCTAGAAAATTGGGCTGTTAAGATGTTAATTTGTCCAATTAGATCTTAATCAAGATCCCATTTTTTACAAAGTGGAATTTGATGGATTCTAATATTTATATGCAAATCCAGACAGCCTAGAATAGCTAATAGTCTTGAAGAACAAAGCAGGAAGATTTACACTGACAGATACGAAGATTTATGGTAGTAATTAAGAAAGTGTTAGCAGAAAGACCAAAGGAACTACACAACAGAGAGGAATCCAAAACCAGGCATCGCACGTATGAGCGCCTCATTCACACAACTCAGGAGGGAAAAGAAGGCCTTTTCCAATAAATGCTGCTAGGTCAACTGGATATCCACATAGGAAAAAAAAGAATCTTGACATTTGATCTTACATATACACAAATATTAAATTTAGGAAGAATATAAGTTTAAATATGAAAGGTAAAATGATAAACCTTCTGAACTACATGGAAATATCTTCATGATCTTGGAGTAGGAAAAGATTTAAAGACAGAAAACACTCACCAAAAAGGAAAAGATTGATAAGTTAAATTGCATGAAAATTAAGAATTTCCTTTTATCAAAAGTCTTCACCACAAAATGGGGGAAGTTGCCTGTAACACATATATCCAACAAAGGATTTGTATCTAGAATATATAAATATCTCCTAAAAATCAATAAGAAAAAGAAAGAAAACCCAGTAGAAAAATTGCCAAGACGCTTGAACAAGTACTTCACAAGAGGTTATCCAAATGGCCAATAAACATAAAACAGATGTTCAACATCATTAGACATCAGGGAAATGCAAATCAAAACCACAACAAAGTATCACTTAGCAGCATCAGAACGTGTAAAATTAAAAGCCAAAAATAAAATGGGAAGAATACAGAGCAAGAGCGAGCCACCTGCTATCAACGTACAACCTCTCTGAAGGCTGTTTGGCACTGTCTACACAGCTGAGTGTGCACATACCCTGTGGCCCGACAACCCATCCTGAACACACTCGAAAGAAAGGCAGAGGCGTGAAAGGGCACTGCACTGGGCTCTACTCTTAAGATTTGGGCAGTTTTCTGACTTAAGTTTTGCCACATGATAAAGTATTATTGGCACAGTGTAGGCACTCAACACGCATTCACCTAAAAACACTAAATTAGGTGTCAGATTAGTACTAACAAGCATGTCTGATAAAGAATTTCTCAATCATACCAGTTTATAATAGATGCAATGAAAAGATAAGTTTCCCCCAAATCTAGGAACAGGAATCCATTCCCAATCAAAACAATGGCAAAAAGACTATTCTAGGGTGACTAGCTGTCCCAGTTTGCCCAGGACTGGGGGCTTTCCTGGGACATGGGACTTTCAGGGCTAAAACTGGGAAAGTCCCAGGAAAATTAAAACAAGTCTGGGGCAAGTCTAGCTTTGTCCCCGTGTTCCTCCTCAGTTCTATTTAAAAGAAAAAAAGAAATTACATCCAATCTGGCAAGCTTTGTTTGGATAAAGATCATCTACCTTATGATCCTATTCAAAAATCTTTAATGGTACCCTGACATTTAAAAAAATAAAACATGAAAGTCTGGCATTCAAAGTCTACCTAGTCTTCTCCGACTTCTACACGACCTGTGTTACAGTTTTCAGCAGAACTAGACCATCTTTCGTTCCTAAAGCGTGTTACTCTTTTGTTTATGCTATGGTCTCCATCTGAAATACTCTATCACTGCTATTTCGTCCTATTTAAATCCTAACAGTTCAAGTTTCTTCTCCTCCTCCACAAAATATTTCCTATTTCCTCTAAAGCAAATTAGTTCCTCAAATTTCTCCTTCCTCTGAATTCTCACTGAACTTTATTCATGTGGTTCTCATGACATGTTCCATGTTCTATCCAGCAATATATTTATCACATATCTCCCACACGAGATGGCAACCTCCTTGGGACTCTATCTGATCTATTTATATATCCTTAGAACATTTATCATGGTGCCTATAGTGGAAAATCAAACATGTGATAAAAGAGGAAAGTGAGAACTGTCATATAAATACAGCCTCTATGTCCTTTCCAGAAAATATTCGTCAAGCCAACCAAGAAAAATTACTCAGCTCCATTGTATTTTCCCTCCGCTCTTCCTTTTATGAACCTTTTAGGCAAATAAGCTCCTTTGCTACAAAATTGAATACTTTTCATACACTTTATATAATTTAACTCAAATATAAGATAAAGGAATACAGACACAGTCTTACCTCATAATTCTTAGGTGGCTGGTCAGTTTTCACAAACAATGAAGTGGTTTTCTTTTCTTTTCTTTTCTTCTTGTGGTGAGGAAGATTGGCCCCAGGTGAACATCTGTTGCCAATCTTCCTCTTTTTGCTTGAGGAAGATTGTTGCTGAGCTAATATCTATGCCGATCTTCTATTTTGCAGGTGGGACACTGTCTCAGCATGGTTTGATAAGCGGTGCATAGGTCCATGACCAGGATCTGAACTTGTGAACCTCGGACCACTTAAGCAGAGTGTGTGAACTTAACCACTACGCCACCAGGCCAGTCCCTAACGCGGTTTTCTTAATTAAAGAAGTAAGTCTATCTATTTTGTCACTCTTACCTTCCAATTTCGTTAGAAGACTTGATTCAGTTTTATTCTTCAGGGTTATAGAATCAGTACTAAGTTCAGAACTCTTCCCATCTGACATCAGGGCCTCCTTGGAACGGATATTTTGAACAGACTACATAAAAAGAATAAGATATCAAATAAAATAAAGTCCCATAAACAGTACTAGTACCAATCTGTCTTACTGTTCAATAAACTAAAGTCTCATCTATGTGAAAATACTACCAGGAAAATTATCTATTATGATAACACGTAGACTCACAGACTTTAGCAAAGACTGACTTCTTGAATTATTGGCTAGAGCAATGGGAATGGCTGTAACTATAAATTTGGCCAATTCGTTTTCAATGAAAATATTAATTAATTGCTAAAATATATTCACTTACAAAAGAGAAGTCAGAAAGTTAGAACCCAATATAGAACATGCTTCATTGTTTTGTTACCATGACTGTATGCTATCACCAAAAATAATAGCATTAGTCAAAATTAAGATTTGTATAATTCTAAGAAAGTAGTTATTCTAAATTCAGAAAGTAAACTTTTTGACACAACTATGCACTCTTCTCTAATAGAGCTGTGATTAGTTAAAATTATGATTTTAAAGCATAGACCATGAAAAAGAGGAGGAAAGAACATAAAATTGAAAAGCCCCACACTGTGATGCCAGGGGTTTAACTCAAGTCCGATAAGAATAGTAAGACCCCTAAAAATCAGGGCACTCGGGGCTAAAACCGCTTCCCGTCTCCCAAGTTCGCACAGGTGCAGCGCCGCAGCCTGACGCCAGGGTCGAGCGTGTAAGCCCTCACCGCCGCCCCATCCCAATTTCCGCTCCCCTTTTCGTCTAAGATGCCCGGCCAGAGCACGTGATTGCTCCGCCGAGAAACAGAAGCTGGGGGAACGGCTCCCTCGGCGCTCCCAAACCCAGGCCAAGTAGTCTGCTCACACGCGCATGACAGCCGCGCTTCCCAGGGCTCCCAGGGGCTGCCCGTCCTCGCGCCACCACCTCAATCTTGGAGAGCCCAGGGCTTCTCTACCACTTCCTCCCCGTGCTCCTGCAGCTCCGGGGCTTCAGGAGCACTGTTAGAGACATCATATAAACTACGGACCCCTTCCCCAGAAAAAGCTCCATGCACCCTGAATCAGGAATCCTCGCTGCATATAGATTCAAAAATTGAAATACCTTTAAATTTCTCAATTCACAGGAATCATTTCCACTTGATTTAGATCCGGGCACAATCATATCTCGGGATTCTGATCCAGAGGTCTGTCTATTACCCACAAAACAAAATAATAGTCAGTTTGAAATTAATCTTTTCAGTGTGTTATTTTTTCCATTTTAAAGTTGGCTTTTTAACAATTTGTACACTTTTTAATTGAAAAAATATTTTGAAAAGATATTTTTTAAAATAACATGAATCTAGTACAAAGGGGATTAAGTTAGCTGCTGGGCAATGACAGGAGTGATAGAGACCAGCAGGAGGTGACTGCCAACTTCATCACCTAATAAGCAACAGTCGGAGTTAAGTATGAACGTGGGCAAGGAGAAGGACCAGCAGTCTGTATGAAACTACACCTCCACCCACAGGCAGCTCCAGGATGAGACCTGGGCATAAACCCTCCTGCCTCCACACTTGCGGCACACAGTCTATCACAAGCACCAGGAAAATGGCTGGTTTGTCTTTGTTTTTATTTTCTTGGAGTGGGACAAAGTCTCCTTTACTCATCAGCTAAGTATTTGAAATGGAGATGACAAGATAATAGTCACCTCATAAAATTCTGGAGCTTACCCTTGACAACCAAAATGCTCTTTTAATATCAATATTTAGTCAAGCCCTAAGTAGAACAGAAATTTAAGTATAGAAGACAACAACTAAAAACAATCAGTTAGATTTCTAAAGTTTACTTGCAAAACGATTCTCTGGGATCCAAGGAGTCATTTCCAATAGAAATAACGTTATAAATAGTAATTAGAGTTAAGAATAGACCAGAAAAAAATCCCCTTAGCTAAGCTACAATACTAGATTCTCATTTCTTTGAAGGGAATAACCACCCAAGTTGGAGGCAGGAGAACCCAATGGATGTGATGAACAGTACTTCGTTCTCCACCTGCCCTCCCCACTTCCGGATCATCGCTCTGAGGCAAACGAATGAATGAACGATCTTTCCCCTGCCAGCCGCTCTCTCCTTGAACTAGCTGGGGAAGAAACTGTCCTCAGACGTCCCTCCACCCTGCCATGGAGAGCCCAGACACGCCAGGAGGAGGCTCCCACAGGGCCCGCCGACTGAGAGATGTGCACACACCACGGGTTTTCACCCCAGGGATGTCTGCAGTGTTGACTTACTATTTTACCTCTATGTTTCCTAATTTTTTAATAGTTCCTTTAATGAATATTTTTAATGAGTGAAAAGGCAAAATAAAGTCATATTCCCCACTCATTCCTTTGTCCCTGACGGCATTTAGAGATTCGGTAATCTTTAATACTAAATAAAAATTTACTCATAATTACTACTACAGAGTAAAAGACTTTAAGACCATTCTGCTGGCAATCATCAAGTGTTGAAAACAAATTAAGAAATTCAAACCCAAACATACCTTTTTGTAAAACTTGGAACAACTGCACCTTCTGTCTTCACGTGATAATCCGGGCTATTCAGAAGGTTAACAGGGACTCTTCCAAATGGGCACGACTGAAAATGTTTTGAAAGATTAAGTAACCAACTAGGAATAAACAAAGATCTCACCACTACCACTTTAATCAAAGTTAATTAAAAATAACTTACCCGTTTAGTTTTGTTTGATCGTTTCAAAGGATTTCCATGACCTATCTCTGCATCTTGAGGGGGCATGTTCTCTCTAAATAGAAAGAAAATACCGTCAATTTTTTAAAAGAATAATATTAACATATTGCCATTAACTGCTAACATTGTTATCACTGTTACATGAAAATACATATGTAGATATATAAATAATGTATGGCAAACATTTAAAAAACTGATTCAGCGTCCTCACCCATAGAAAAACCTGGCTTTAGCAGGCTGTCCTCTGGAGTCACCGCTGACCTTCTTATTCTGTAGATGGCCAAGTGAACTGGGGAATGATTCCTGGGCAGTTGATACTGTAGATGCTGTAAAAATGTTGAAATTGTAATTAAATTTGTAAAGACATAAGGAATACACAACAAAGTAATCTTACAAATAAGAGTATTTAAAAAGTCGACTCATAGTAAGCATCTGTGCCCAAATAGGATACGCAGACACGGAGATGTTATCAAGACAATTCTCTAACTATGCTTCACAACTGTTTCATAACTGCATCATCGTTTCCCCAGAGTAAAGGCACATACTCTATTCCTCAAAAGCAAAAAGTCACTCTCTCACTTTGATCGGCTTGATTTTAACGTGTCATCCATGCGTTTGATTAGCTAAGACAAAAATTTCAACAGGATAGAAAATACTTTGTTACTTCTAAAAGTCTTACCTCCTTTACATCTAAAATTTAATCTTAGATTTTGATTATTCTAGATAAATGATGTTTTTCTATAAAATATTATCCTGAATCCTTTTTTGTTGGGCAATCTATCACAGAAAAGTATTAGCACCATTAATACATTTACCTGATAAGCTCTTCTTTTCTTCCTCTGAAAGCAGCTGCTTTTTTTGGAGGTTTAAATTCCGAATGGCAATTTCTAGCATTTCTAGTGGTACTGCTCCACATTCCAGAGCTTTATGAAGAAGTTGTTTACTTTTTTTAAAGTTACCTAACAAAGTGAAAAATAATAGTCATTTTAAGGCAGCAATCTTTACCTCCCAGATACTTATCATCAGGACCTGGGATAAAAGTTAAAAAGGCTTAAGCAAAAATATTTATTCCAAGGCTCATGCACTTCATTTCAAAGCAAATAAGAAATCTCTCAGTTCTGATAACAACTCATGTCAAATAGTTTACTTGTGTACTATATAATTGATGTAATTCGTATTAGTTTATTACTGCTGTCCACTTTCAGAAAGAAAAGAAGCGTCACAAAGCAGTTACCAAGTGGAGAAAGCAAACGCCGACCAGCACGGTCAGAAACCTGAGGGAATTCAGAAGGAAAGCCAAGCCCTGAGGGTACAATAGTCTGCAAAACATCAACCCGTTACAGCACAGTACGATAATCATTCATAATGACACTGCGTTCATTAAGAAAAGGGTGACATCTTTTGCTAAAGGGAATCCTCCATCAAAAGGATTCTTGTAAAAAAAAAAGTAATGATAAAGATTAATCTTTAGCTACCAGACTTAGCTACATGACCCCCAAAATGCAAAATAACTGAGAAACTACAATTACCTTTCTGACTACAGATAAATTACCAAACAAATTTTCTTTCAACTCCAGTCTTAAACAACATATTTACTCTGGAACTTAATATATAAATATTAAACATATCCATCATGTATCTTACGGAATATGTAATCAGCACTTACGGGAGCCATTGAGCTACACTACACACTGGGCACTTAGAGCATAAAGATGATTAAGAGATGGCCTTTTGCTTCTGACAGTTTACAAATTTTAAGAATATAAATACATTTGACAGTGGTTAAGCCCACATTTATTGAGAGCAGTGATATTTCATGTATTGAGTATTTTAGGACAGCAAAAGGAGAGAAGGGCTTGGATAAGAACCAGTAATTAGAGGGCCCCTTTGAGAATCTGATGAAAACTATACACACCAAACTGTGCATGGGCTTTCAAGGATGGTACATATATCCTGAAAGTCTAGTCAACAACCTTGTTCAAAATAATCAGAATTCTTCTTTTCTTTCTTTTTTTTTTGTTGAGGAAGATTTGCTGTGAGCTAACATCTATGCCAGTCTCCCTCTATTTTTCAGTATCTGGGCTGCCAGCACAGCATGGTCACTAACAGAGCAGTGTAGGTCTGTGCCCGGGAACCGAACCTGGGCTGCTGAAGCATAGCACACTGAATTTAACCACTCAGCCACCAGGGCTGGCCCAAATAATCACAATTTTGACCTTGAGGCTACCACTACATTGTGGTGGTACAGACAAAATTTATTTATTTATTTTTTTTACAGATAACAGAATTTGAGATTTTCAATATTTATGTGTTCTAAAGATGTAAAGTATATAGTTGCCATATAGGCCACATTACTTAAAAAATTTTTAAGTAGAAGGAAGGAGCAATAAAGGGTCTTAACGGCCTGACCAAACTTACTTTAACAAGCAAGGAGGAGGAATCAACGTTCCTAGGCAAAGAAAGGATGACATTTTTAAAGTCACTTGATAGTGCCCTGGATAGACTGGAGAAGATGATTCAGCTAACCAGGACTCAGAAATTATCTGACATAAAAGTTCAGGGTTCTCAAGCCATTTCCTGAGTTTGTACAATGCCCTTCTCCAACCTCAATCCTGGGGAATACTCTCCAGTGAGTGAGCCCTGCTTCGGGCACCATCGTGGGGATTCTGGCTGAGCCAAACCAACAGTTACAATGTCTATATCACTGGTGGTAGACGGGATGAGCGTTGGGGCAGAAACAAGGCAAAAAGAAAATATGAACACATGGCCAGACGACAGATTGAGGCTGCATGCAGAGGCCCCAGAAAATGAGAAAAGAAAAAAGACTAAGGAATGGCCAGCCTGAAAATGTCTGAGGAAGAGACTGCCCTCGTCCTGTCCAAAAAGTCCAGACTATGAAGAACCAAGTGAGCAAGAAATAAAAGCTTGTACTATGGTTTATTTATTTTTTTTAAAGAACTACCAATTAACGCTACAAATATATTCTGGTGCAATGAAACGACAGCATAAAAAAAGCTTATCTAAGCTCTATCTTAAATATCTTATATCCTTCATCCAAAAATAAGGAGCAAAGAAGCCACTTTCCCTTAGATGCTTCCTGAATCTAACAGCACAAACACAACATTCATGCTCATTTCTCTGGATTATTCCTTAGAAGTGGAATAGCTAGCTAACAAATATTCTCTGCATTTATACTTATGTGGCATTATTCCCCCACGTTCCCATCTCATCAACTTTCGCGCCTTTTGCCTCAAATTTTCCACTTCGTACTTATGATTGAATGTTAGTATATAAGTTACAGTTTTACTTATACTTTTGATGGCATTTTCAGATTACCTTGCGATAGTTCAAATTGTGCAAAAGATACATGTACGAAAGCAAACTTCTTGCAGTTTGCTCTGGCCATCTGAAAGCAGTCACGGGCATCATCCGGCTCCTGAATCCTGTAACAGAGTTCTCAGTCACATTGTAAGAAAAAGACACAGCTGCCTGAGTTCGATAATTCCTCATTCTATTTTCCAAAAGACATGGGATATTGTATTTTCCTGTGTGTAAAATCAAATACTAATAAGATATTTTATTATAAAATCTTTTTAGGCAGAGTTTAGGATACGTAAGTTTTGTGGAAATATATACATAATAGAGTTTATATTATTCACTTATTAATTATAAGCAAAAGGATTTGGTCAAAAAGTAACAATTTCTGGGGCTGGCCCCGTGGCTGAGTGGTTAAGTTCGCACGCTCCGCTGCAGGCGGCCCAGTGTTTCGTTGGTTCAAATCCTGGGCGTGGACATGGCACTGCTCATCAAACCACGCTGAGGCAGCATCCCACATGCCACAACTAGAAGGACCCACAGTGAAGAATATACAACTATGTACTGGGGGGCTTTGGGGAGAAAAAGGAAAAAAATAAAATCTAAAAAAAAAAAAAAACTAACAATTTCTTACAAGTAATTCTGATAACATGTTTTCTTTTTTTCCTTTTTTTTTTTTTGGGGGTCAGGAAGATTGGCCCTGAGCCAACATCTATTTCCAATCTTCCTCTTTTTGCATGAAGATTGTCACTGAGCTAACATCTGTGCCCATCTTCCTCTGCTTTGTATGTAGGATGCTGCCCTGACAACGTTTTCATTTTACCTTTTTTTCTTTTTCCAAGATTGGTACCTGAGCTAACATCTGTTGCCAATGTTTTTTTTTTCCTTCTTCTTCTCCCCAAAGCCCCCCAGTACACAGTTCTATATTCCAGTTGTAGGTCCTTCTAGTTGTGCTATGCAGGACACCACCTCACCATGGCCTGAGGAACGGTGACATGTCTGCGCCCAGGATCCAAACCCGTGAAACCCTGGGCTAATGAAGCAGAGCGCACAAACTTATCCACTTGGGGGCGGCCCCTCATTTCACCTTTTTGTAACATAGTTATGTGTTATGTAATGTAGTTAGTTAAATGTAGTTAAAATGCTAATACGTACGCTTTTAATTCAGCAAATCTCACTTGAATTTGAGCAAAACTCTCATTTTGCCCATATTTATCAGGAGGAAGTGCTTCAATTGCTTGACTGTAACGAACAATCAGCTTATTTAAAAGGGCGTCATTTAGGGGGACACTGTTTTTCTCTAGTTTGAGCAACAAATTCAACCAGTCCTCTGGGTTGTTCGCCATCATTATAATTTGGTTAACAGTTCCTGAGTTATCTGAATATAGGGAACAAAATATACACAACAGATGTAAGAAAGACATAAAACAAATGCCAAATTGCACTTTTCCTTCAAATTACAGTTAATCATTTATACTCTCAGTTTCAATGTACATAAACTCCTTAAAATACTTTTTAAAAACTTTAACAATTTGAGTAAATATAAGTAACTTAATTACCACATATATATCTTTTATGAGGGTATATTTTACTCCAAAAAGCTATATATTTTAAGGAAAGAAAAAATTAGGAAATAATTGGTTTTTTTCCATAGGTAGCTTTAAAAAATCATATGCAGTCTAAGAAAATTTTATGCTGTAGCAGCATAATTCTATTCTAGCATTCTAACTATCTGAAGGAAATCCAAGCCTCTCCCACCAGGCCTTGTACCAACTTTCTTGGAAAATTCTTTACCAAAGACTTATTCATTAAAACCTTGAAACCTATTGCCTCAGTCCTAACGTAACTTTCTTTATCCAGCATCATCTCCATCCATCTCAAACTTACTCTTAAATCAACCAAATAAAACCAGTTTACAAAAGATAAGCAACTGATAGTCATTTTCTTCTCCCTCCAAGTTACCCATATTTCTCCATAATTTTCATGCTGTAATTTACTTTTTTACTTCTTTTAGTGTTAATCGTTTTAAGAAGACAACTTGAATTAATGTGAGTCTCCTGTTCAGGGTATTGTAGTTAATAGTAAACATTATTAAATTCAGATTTCTCAGAGAAACTATCATTCCTTCCATTAGTTTGTTACCTTCAACAAGGGCTAAATCATTACTTTTGCAAATAAAACTACTCTTTCTGCTCGCTAGGAAAACACAGCCCATTCATAATTTTGCTTTATCTCAAATTTAATCTGGTCTGATCTTAACTTCATTCTCCAGTTTTACCTCCTAACAAATTAGTCTGTAAGACATCTAAAAACACCATGTCTTTGCAGATGTGTTCCACATGCCTCTGAGCACCCCATTCTCCCTCTAGTCACCACTTAAAGCAATGTCTCTTTATTGCATCAGTATTCATTTAATGTCAAACAATGTAGCACAGTAGATTCATAAATTCTTCTCATGTAGAATTCATGGTTTTAAGCATCTTTGAATCTTCTTCTGTACTTAATATAATGTCTTACATCCCAATTATCAACCTGTGTTAAGTATTTACAATTTTGAGTAGCTAAGGATTTTAAATAAGGACTCATCTACCTTGGCATACAAGCTTTGTTAGCATTATTTAAATACATATAATAAAGTATGGTAGTACTCTATTAAGAATTTGCTTAACAACAAAATGATCAATGTAAAGGTTGTTTCAAATGAACATGATCTGCCATCATGACTAGATTACAGGTTCTTCTGCTTATTTTCAATCTCTCATCCATTTAATGGTTAGTATAGACATGACAAACTTATCCAAAGGTCACTTTTCAAATGACCTCAACAATTTGAAATATAGTAAAGAGTTAGGCTTCTGAGCTAGTGCTTTTCATAAAGCTAGGGTATCAGACTTTGGGCTTTTATTCATTCATCATGCAATAAATATTTAAGTGCCTAATGTGTGCCAGGCACCATTCTAAGCTGTGTAGATAAAACAGATAAAAACCATGTCCTCATGGAGCTCACATTCTAGCGGAGGAGATAGATAATAAACACATGAATAAGTCAGATATAAGGTGATTAGTGCTATGGAGAAAAATAATACAGGGAAGGGAGTTAGGGGACACACTCCTACCCCAGCAGGCCGCTATTTTAAATAGGTAGGTTAGGGGAGCCCTCACTGAGATGACGTTTGAACAAAGAGCTGAAGGAGGTAAGAGAGGGAAGATATCTGGGGAGTGGTGTTCAAGGCAGGGGACAAGAGCAAAGGTACTGGGCTAGAGGCTGGTCTAGCATATAAGAGAGACATCCATGAAGCCACTGTGGCTGGAACCAAGTAAACATGGGAGAATAGGAACAAAAGCCAGAGAACAACAGGAAGACTCTCTAAATCAAAAATTGAGTGTTTGACATTAAATTTATATATAATTTTATTAAGATTGGTGAGGCTTTCTCAATTTACAACAAAAAAGGAATGGAGAAAAATGGCAATATCTATTGATGGCAGGCATATCAACAGAAATAACAGCTGATAATGGAAGAGTTAAGAAAACAACCTCTGAGCACAATGTAATAAATGATGTTAAGTTTCCTTTTTAAAGAAAGCAGTGGCTAATACTTCATTCCTTTACCTTTGAGGGCATGCAGAAAAAAGGAACTCACCTGTAGTATCAGCAGAGACTTTATTCAAGCTTAGCTCATCAGTAAGGTCTTCATTTTTAAATTTATTTTTAATGTCTCTCACTTTGTTCATTATGGAATCAATTGTCAATTCTCTGCCACTTAAATCCTCGGCCTCCATTTCTAAGAAAAAAGAATTGAACTAGTCATAATGCCTATTTCCACTAGCATTAAAGAAAAAATAGTTGCAACTAGCCTTTTCGAACCCAGAAAACTAAAGCATTAGTTATGCGAACACATTTCAACACAGATACTATTAAGGTAGTGTTTGTGAAGCTATGTGCATAAAAACAACAGCGCATCTTTGAAATTTGTCCAACAAGGTTTCCAGTAGGCTAAGTACACGTTTTCTTCCTAACAGAACTTCAGTGAAGCCATTGCACAACACAGAAATTGCTGCCGTCTTTCAAACTGCATTTTTCTTCTACACACTGAATGCCTTCCTTTCACTCTTTTTCCAGAATTATTTTCTCTGGGGCATCTGCAAATTCAGTCATTTTAAAAGATGCCATGGAATGTTTTCTGGTATTCTGGTGGTGACATACAGACATACAGCATCCTTTTGGTAATGTGAATGACCATTCCTTTATTCACCTGTTTTATGTGAGTAAACCTGCACATTGCAGGTGCTTTCAGAGCAGAATATATACAAACATCAAAGTCCTTTATTGATAAATACGATATCAGCAGACTTGAGTTTCTGCATATCTGGCAGGATCATTACCTTAATCATTCTAATACCAAGAATCTACCGTATTCGTATAGTACTGAGCACTTGCTCATCTGTATGGTGGCGACGTCTGGTCAACAAAGTGTCTGCAGTCTTCCTGTCAATCTCGCCTTTGTGATTCTCAAACATCATCCCAGTAACCCAGGGTCAGTGACCTCGAGTTTAGCAATGAAAAGGGGCGATAAAGTGGAAGCTAGGTAGCACCTCCTGAAGTCAGGTTCGAAATATAACTGTCAGAACACGGTCACCATTTCCTCTCCCTGTTCTAAAACACCAGACAAGAGAGGGTATGTCTTTTGTGAGCCGATCTCGTGTCCCCAAACTTTCCCCAGGTGTCCCGCCAGGCAGTCTCTCCAGCGAGGTCCACACCCACCTCTTGCTTCCTGGGGCCTCAGCACCATCCCGGGCACCACCCAGTGGATTGGCGGAAGTTGCGAGACCTCCCCTCCCCCTCCGGCCCGGGTACCCGGCTCTGAGCCCCGCCTCGCCCCCACCACTCACCGACCTGAGAGCTAAAGAGCCCAACACCTGCGGCCGTCGTTCCTCGGTCCGCCCGCGAGGCCCAACTCACCGCCGGAAAGCGGGCTTGAGAAGAAAAGATGGAATCCAAGCCCCCCTCCACAAACACGTTTGAATTTCCCCGCCGCTACGGCCGCGGCCGCCTATTGGCCGATGCTAGTCACGTGGAAGCGTCAGCCGTAACTGGTACGTGTGCGTCGGCCCCGCCCCTTTCCCTGCGGCACGCCGGTCTGGCCCAGGAAGGGTCCTCCGCCCAGCTTGGGCTGCGCGGTGCGCGGGGTGCCATGCTGGGGGCTGGGGCTCGTCCGCCGTTCTCGGGGCGCCAGGAGGCCGGCTCTCCCGCACCTTCCAGTTTAACCCGGTCAAATTTTTGCCGGGCAGGGAGCCACTCCCGGGCGGAGTGATGGATGAGAGGTAAATAGGGGCGGGGACGCTGCTTCCAGCATCAGGACCTCACCAGTGCCCTGAGAGTCGCCCCGCCGCCCCGTCCTCGCCCTCCGCGCTCCTCTCGGGCTTAGAGAGGAGGTGGCAAGGAAGGGGCGTTCACAGCGCTGCCGGCGGCCCCGCCAGCTCCAGAATCTCCGTGCTCGGCGTCCTCGAGCTTCCCCTTTCCTTCCACGACTGCAGGCTTCGCTCCAAACCGAGGCCCCCGCCCCAGGCAGAAGCCGAGCTCGCGCCCCTCGCGCCCGCGGCGCCCGGGCTCGCCTTCTCGGCCTCCCTCCGAGCCGGCTGCGGGCTCCAGGGCGCCCCTCGGAGTCCGCGTGGCTGCGGGGCTCTGCCCTGGGGGCTTGTCCTCCAAGGCGACGCTGTCTCCGCTCCGCTGTTGTACCAGCACTGCGACGGTGCTGCATGGTACGACAGGTTGGGTTTGCGTGTGTGTAGGACACTAACTGCAGCCGTCACTGGTTAACTCCAGCGCTGTCCTCGGCACCCTCGCAGTGCCAGCTCCGGCCAGCCGCCGGGTGAGCGGGAAAGCCCTTCGTCGCTTAGAGCATCTTTCCAGACCCGCTGGCTGTGTATTTTCGCTCCGGCGGAGCGAAATGATTTGCTCCACCGTGGTTGGCTAATGGCGCCGTTGCATCGCTGCGCCTAACGCTGCTTTTACTTGGAAGGAATTTACTATTTCACCAATTCTTGTTGATCTCTTCGGAGCCTGATCTCAAAACTTGGGTGGCCCTGAAAGCGCTTTTGCTGAATAGCCTCACCCTGACACTTCTGTACACTCACTCCCTGGGCGACTTCCAGTCTGCATTTCAGATACCAACTGTGTGTGCTGTAAATACAGCTACACGTTGGGTTTTGAGGACTTAGTATGAGAAAATAATGTAAAATATATTGATAATTTTAAAAATGTTGATTACAGTTTGAAATATTTTTTATATACTTTGTTAAATATTAAAATTAATATCCCTTGCCACACAGCAGAGGAGAGTGAGACATGACAACTAAATGCAATGTGCTGTCATGGATTGGGTCCTGGAACAGAAAGAGAACATTAATGCAAAAACTGATGAAATGCAAATAATAAATCACTGAGGTCTAGTTAGTAGTAATGTACTAGTGTTGGTTTCTTAATTTTGACGGATGTACCACAGTAATGTGAAATCTTAACAACAGGGAAATTGAGCGAAGGGTATATGCCAACTCTGTACTACCTTTGCAACTTTTCTGTAAATCGAAAATTGCTCCAAAATAAAAAATTTATTAAAATTTAATTTCACTGGGCTCTTTTTTAATATGGCTAATGGAAAATTGAAAATTACATATGAGGCTTGCATTATATTTCCACTAGACAGCAGTGGTCTACAAAATCCTATGGTTTTACCTATCCGACCTATTACATACAGTGTTTCTTTTCTGACTCTCCACCCCCTGCCCCACAAGAATGTAAACTCCCTGAAGAGCAGGAGTTTTTGTCTGCTTTGTTCGTTACAATGCCCTTAGTGCCTAGAATGGTGCCTGGTACATTGTAGGCACTCAGTAAATGTGAGCTAAATACTAACATTTACGCCCATTAGAATATTTCAGAATCCTATTTGCTCTAATATATTTGTATACTTCTTGAGGACAGGAAACTTTAACCATCTGTACTTCTTATAAATGCTCCAAGAAACTTTGTACTGTGTCCCGTGCAATTCTCAGCAACTGTTGACAGGTTATTATTACAACCTGTTCAGAAACAAAAGTAGGTACCGTTCTTGGCTAAATGTTATGTTGATTGTATATGTGGGAGACATGTAACAACGTACCATTTTGGGATGAATAGTGCCACTATAGTGTTCAGACTTGTATCTGTGAGGGTGGCCATGGTTTCCTACCTTACCCAGAATCAGTGCGTATGACTCGTCTATCCAAATAGATTTTGATCTTAGCTGCTGTTCCTTCAGGTCACTGTACTCGTAGACCAACGAGGAGCCACCTCCAGGGACATTTAGGAAGTGAAGTTGTTGCAGTCAATATTATACCACAGTTATTCATTTGGCTTATAACCAGCTTCATCTCACAGCAAATAAACGCGTGTATTTTCAGAGTCAAGCCTTCTGCAAAACAGTACAATTCACCAAAGGATTATGACTTTATTTCAAGATGGAGGTTTCACATTTTCATTACATAAATGAAAGTTTGTACCATGTAACTTTATCATGTCACCACTTTTTTGCTAATCTTTGACAATTTTCTGTCAGCACAGTTGCCTTTTTTTATGCAATGATTGAAGTCATTGTTACGTGAGTTCACTATTTCCAAACTTTGCTTTCAGAAACCGTTTCCCACACTTAGATTTACTTTGTGCATGTGCAGAGGTTGAATTTCTAGTCAATAATAAATTCAAGTCTCACAGTATATAATCAGTTGTGCACTGCTTTATGGTGATTTATTGTGGGGTAAAATGTTATTAGTGTACCTGATTTTGGTGTGCATAGGAATGGTGTGAACCTGGAAGATTGGTGAGAGCCTGTACCAATAATATTAGGAAAGCTACATAGCGCAGAATGGACCAAACCTTTCCCAAAAGGGGAAAAAAATGCCAGTGACAGCTAGCAAAGTACTTCATAGATTATGAAGAAAAACAGTAACGACTGTTTTGACCAAGGGAAACAGCAAAGACAGTTTGGGACCACTATTCGGATGTCAGTTATTGTTATTCAGGCAACAGATTATGTTAACAAATGACAGAAGAAAAGTGGGATTTCTATTTTTCTTTTTTCTCTATCATTGAGACTAGTATTCAAACTGACAATCTTAAAAGCAAATAAGGTTGAAACTCCCATCTGGTGAGGCTATATAAGAAAGGCATTTAAATGTCATTCAAATTCTCTGACACAAATGAATTATTTTTTTATTTTAGCCATGTGTCCTCAGTCTCTGCTACATAGAAGGAACCACACGTAACTGGTTAACATGTTGAAGAAACTAAACAGAATGTTGAAAAAATTTACATTATAATTCCAGAAACATTGGCAATCTCTGGAGAGTCATAATAAATAGGAGCAATGATAGAAAATCAGAAAGGGACAGATGTTTCCTTTCAGAAAAGGGAGTATTTGGAAGTTATAGGTCTATATGATCTTGATGTGGGTTTTTAGGCCAATTCTGGAATAGATTATAGAATTATTTAGAAGCAGAGATCTTTAGATATTGATATGAATTCATTAAGAATGAGCCATACAGAAACACCAAATTCTCATTTTGATTGTTTCTAAATTTAGGAAATGCCATAAATATAGAATATCTTAACTTTGGCAAAGAAAGTGATAAATACTCTCTTGTTTTGGTCGGCCAGAGAGAGGCATGTAGGCTCCGTGCGGTTAATGTGAGATGAGCCTGCCGCTGTCTGGACCATTATCTCAAGAAGGCTGCATAGTGGGCTGAGGAGAACTCCAGGAGAAGGGCTCAGAACACTGCCCTTGCTCTTTTTCTAAACTACGTATTTTACCTGTGTGATGGATGCATCAATATAATGCTTTTAAATTTTGCACTACTTAAAGCAAGAAAGACAAATGTTACAAAAGAATAAGGACAAAATTAACAATATGAAATTTATAGGGATAAATGTAAAACCACACATTGCTTTATAAAAATAAAATTCTCAGATACATAATTAGAGTCCAGTCAAGATGGAGAAATATGGCCCAGAGCTATACTCTGGAAATAACAACCAAACTCTATGATATGAATGAAACAAGCATTTTCAAGGGTTAGAGATCAGGCAGCACAGGACAGTGATCCTTGAGAGCAGAGAAGCAACAAGTGAGCCCTGAGATTGTCCATAGAATTATTGCCTGGAGAGAGTTTCCAAGCTGTGGTGTGGGAATGGGGGACCCAGGCATTGCCTGGCATTCTCCCTAAATTAAGGACATGGAGCTTGGTATTTTGGATGGCCAAGGCAGCTAAAGTTCACAGGGCAGAGTACCAGAGGAAAGAGAGGACAGAGAGAACTCTGGAAATCTATAGAGAAGTACCTTGAGGCTTCAGCTGAGTACCAATGACTGCATGTGTCTGAGGAAACTACCCCAAGACCAGGCAAAAATAACAGCTGAAAGGATCGGGGTAAATGATCCCTGGAGCCGATAAAGGGCAAGAAATAGTTCATGTTCACAGAGCATCAGGCAAAGGACTCATGACATTGCTGCTGTGCCAGCAAAACTAGCCCTGGACTGGAGGGTGCCCTAGTCCAGCCTAACAAAGCTTAAAAGCAAGCCTTACAAGGGTCAGGCTCTTTCCACATAATGTAACTGCATCCCAGAACAAAGCTCAAGAATACTTATAGAAATACAAGAAAATCTCAACCTTTCAAATTCAGTGTCTGGCCTCTAAGTAAAAACATTACCAGGCATTCAAAGAGGCAGAAAAGTGTAACTCCAAATGGAGGGGGGTAGATTAGTGGATTGGAACAGACCCAGAAATGGCACAGATGAGAGAAGGAGTAGACAAGGACACTAAGACAGTAATTCTAATTCTATTCCATATGTTCCAGAAGTTAGAGGAAAATGTGAACATGCTAAAGAGAGGTGTGAAATACGTGAGAAAACCCAAAGCAAATATCTAGACATGGAAAATACAATGTCTGCAATAAAAAATACATTGGATAAGATTAATGGCAGATTAGACACTGGAGAACAAAAGACCAATAAACTGGAAAACATAGCAATAAAAACCATGCAAAACAAAACACAGAAAAAATAGACACACAGAAAGTGAACAGAGCACCCACACACTGTAAGACAACTTACAGCGGCCTAATGTAGAGGTAACTGGAGTTTTCAAAGGAAAGGAAGGAGAACTGAAGAATATGTTGAAAACAGTGGTGAAAAATTGGCCAAAAATGGTGAAAACTATAAACCAACAGATAGAAGTTCAACAAATTCCGAGCACAAGAAACTCTATGACAATTACACCATGCACATAATTAAATTGCTCAAAATCAGTGATAAGAGAAAAATCTTAAAAAACAACCAGAGGAAAAAAGACACATTGCATAAAGAGGGACCATCAGGGCTGGCCCAGTGGCACAGCGGTTAAGTTCGCACATTCTGCTTTGGTTCGCTGGTTTGGATCCCAGGTGTGGACATGGCACAGCTTGTCAAGCCATGCTGTGGTAGGCATCCCACATATAAAGTAGAGGAAGATGGGCATGGATGTTAGCTCAGGGCCAGTCTTCCTCAGCAAAAAGGGGAGGATTGGCAGCAGATGTTAGCTCAGGGCTAATCTTCCTCAAAAAAAAAAAAAAAAAAAAAAAGAGGGCCCATCATTAAGATCACAGCAGAAACAGTATAAACCCAGAGAGAGTGGAGCAATATCTTAAAACTACTGAAAGAAAAAAAAATATGAAGCTAGAATTGTATAACCCTTGAAAATATCTTTCACTACGAAGGAAAAATAAAGTTGTTTTTGGACATACGAAAGCTGAAAGTCACCAGTAGATACTAGTAGTAAATCTAAATGCAACTATATTAATAATCACATTAAATGTACATGGTCAAAACACCCCCTGAAGGGTAGAGATTTTCATATTGAATAAAAAAGCAAGTCACAGCTATCTGCTGCCTACAATAAACCCACTTTAAATATGAAGACACAAATAGAATAAGAGTAAAAGAATGTAAAAAGACATACTGTGCTAACACTACTAAATGCAGAACCAGAAAGACCCAATTTGGCAGCGGTCTGTGCAAACAGACTTAAGGGCTTCTGATCACCTAGGTAAATGGTCTTTGATCTCTGATCCAGGATATGTTTTCAGTGTGTCTGCAGACATGGATCCAGAGTGGAAACTTGTCAGAAGGAAGGGCATCTGCTGGGAATCTAGATAAAATGCTTTCAAGTCCAGTCCCAACTTTGAAATCACAAGTATTTAGACAGCTGTGAAAATGGGCACTGTTTCTCTCTGAGGATCCAGAGTAGTTTCTGACACATTTCACAGCAATGGATTGAACAGGAAATCTGTTTAGACAGGCTTGGATAGCCAGGCTTGCTAACAACCTGAAAGGTCTCTGCCAAATCTTCAGAATGGAGAAATGGGATTTAATTGGAATAATTTTCCTCATCCATTG